AGCGGAATCTAAAAGCCATTCATTCTTATCAAAAGAAGTCACTTTAGAACATAAAGGAAACACTGCAAATACATCACCTAAACATTCATCGGTTAATGTCATATTAGCAAGCTCATTAGTACAAGTGTTTGTCGAATTTCTAGCATTATAACTATTGTTATTGGAGTTAAGAATATTCTTAGGACAATTCCTAATGAAATGAGAAGGATCACCACAATTAAAACAATGTTTGACGTACTCGAAGGAGGTTTGAGATCTATTCATTGACTTGCTTTTAGACTTCTTCTTATGTTGACTATTGTGAGAATCATCCCCTTGCTTATTGTTATGGGAAGAAGATTCATTCTTGCTAGTTCTAAAAAAAGATCTACCCCTAACATGCATAACCTCTCCATGGCTTTCTTCATTAGCTTTATAAAGTTGTAAGTCTACTTCCTTACTTTTCAAGTAATTTATCACTACGTCTAATGTTATCGTGTCTCTTCCATACTTAATAGCTGATTTCACATCCGAGTAGGAACTAGGGATAGCATTTAATAAAACTATAAAACTATAGTCATCGATATTCTTATCACCCGTTTGTTTTATATCTTGTATAAGCTTGGTAAAAACATCGAGATTTTCATCTATAGATTTTGAAAGATCCAATCTATAACTAAAAAACTTTTCAAACAAATGAATGCGATTTGGAAGAGAAGGTTGAGTATACATTTGATTTAGCTTATCCCATAAATCTTTGGCCGATTCATAAACTCCAATTTTCCTAATAACATGATCCGCAAGATTCAATATAATGCATGCAGAAGCCAATTCATCCAATTAAGCCATATTTGCAAGAGGGATATCAATTGCATGTTCAACTTCAACAACTTTATACAATCTTTGTAAAACTAAGACACTAAGCATTTTTTGTTTCCAAATAACAAAATCTATTTTACCATCAAAAGGTTGAATATTATAATATGCAGGACTAGCCATCGTTTCCACAAAAAAACTGATTTTTAAAGAATTTCCTAGAAAAATCATATTTTATTCAAGAAAACTACTTCAAAGCATGTATATATTCACAAGTTCACCAAACAATCAGACAACCTATTGAACAAACAGATTAAGAAGCTACCACAATAGATAATGGACATACAACATGCAACAAAAAACACTTTTCAAGAGCAAAAAAGCATTAACTAAACCACGAGTTAGTTTCTTGCGAAGCTAACTTGACAGGCAGTTAATATTCCAACAAATTTCCAACAAAAAAGCTAGAGCTCAATCCAGGCAACACAAACATCCAGTAGCATAAATTCAAACAATAAGAATCACAATCAGCCACGGCTCAAACAAAAATAGCAGACAATTCAGGTAAAGCACACATAGCCACTCTATACATACAAAAAACCGGCAGACAACTCAAGCATAAAACACAAACGACGGCTTAAAATTTCAGCATAAAACTTGTGCACAAAATATACACATCCCTGCACAGCCCAAGAAAATAGCAAACACCACAATTAGAACACAAATACAGCTACTACTTCAAAAGTAGAGGGATATGCTATTCGTTATCCACTCCTAGCTCCGCAACAAACTTTGGCAATTTTTTAGGATTCTTTTGTCGCCAACCTGTTTCACCCTTTGGAACTGCGAACTCAATACACGAGTTAGAATAGTTTGGATGGTGTAATAAGGGATTATTCTAAACAGTAGCCTAATCCAACAAGAATGTCACATGTAAGGCAAACTTAAACCAAAAACACAAATTCAGTTTCACTTTTTGGACTATGTGATCTCAATTATAGTTACTCAAGTTCTGAAATTTCAAGTAACAATCACCTAATTTCCAGATTGTCTTCGAACTTAAGGAATTGAACTAGTTGAACTTCAATCTCACTATAATTCACAAATTTAAAACCACAGATCACGATATCAGGTTGTGTTTGTTTCAATCTTGGTTTCAAAACAGTTTTTATAGAAAAAATCTATGACCACTTTTTGAAATAACCAAATTGAATCGTTGTTTTAATACCGAACAATCCAATTTTTTGAAAAACAAAGAACTATCATCACATTTTCGAAAAACAGAGAACAAAAAATCCTAGTTTCAGATTTAAAAAAATAAAACAGAACAGTGAACTCACGGTTTCAAATACTTTTACCAAAACAGAGAGCTCATTCACGGTTTCAAATTTTGGGAAAAAACAGTCGACAAAAGCACGATTCAGTTTTGAAAAACAGAAACAAACCACGGTTTCAAATCTTAGGGAAAACTAGAAAACAAACCGCGATTTCAAGTTTTCGAAAGAAACATCTATTTAGCCACCTAAAAGCTTTAATATCACTTGTTATTACTAATCCAAGATCAACAACACAATATTCGCTCAAGAAAATTCCAAAACTAACGAAAAATTAAAGAAACTTTTATTATTACGGAAGCAATCTACTTGGACTCAGTTTTACCCTCAAATCAAACAAACCGATATCAAACATACATCCAAGACCCAAACCACAAATGACTCGCCACATAATCGAAACTAACACACAAACCCGAACCCTAATCTAATGAAACATTGTCGAAATTAAGCCTAATACCATCGCAGACAAGATTACACCGCAAACCAACAATAAGGCACAAATCGAGCAATCAAACCATAGAAAAACCAAGGGGGAAGGTGCGCGTCGAAAGAGAGGGAGAGCTTCCCAAATCGCCGGACAAAATAGATAGATAAATTTACAAGATAGATACAAGGCTTTGAGTGAGTCCTACGTGTAAAAGGTTAAAAAATTAATTAAATTGATTTATATTTTTTTAAGTATGTTTAAAATTGATAAAATTACTAAAAATAAAAATAGATCATCTTTTGTGAGACAAAAGAAAAAAAAAAAAGTCATCTATGGCGGAATGGAAGGAATATTATATTAATATAAACAATGTACCATCTAAAATTTTGATCGATATTTTTTTTAACATTTGATCGGTGTTGTCTTGAAAAATCAGCGTACCGTACTAATTATTCAAAATCAATTTCATAACCGTCACCTATAATTTTCCGGCAAAGCCTTTCTAAAGGATCTCCATATAAGATTCCACCCATATTTTCATAATTTTTCGAAAGAATGGGGATCAGTTCATGACATACAAGGCCAGTCCTAATTTTCGAAAGGTCCAGGGCGAAAAAAAAAAATTATACGCCTCTAAATATATATAAATAATATATTTTTATCTATAATTAAATATAAATAATTAAATAAAACAATTTTCTAATATTTTTAAATGAAAAATAGTATAAAAAATATTTGAGACATATAGGTTATAGAATTTGAACTTAAGACCTCAATATTAAAAATTAATCTCTATACACCAAACTAAAATTATTTATAAATATATATTAAATAAATTATATATATAAGTTATACATATATAACATAAATATATAATGGACCTTCTGTGTACTGTGGGCCTGAGCAGACGCCTCTCCCGCCCAGGCCCAGGAGCAGCCTTGATGACATAACATACCTCTTCATTCAAAGAATTTACAAACCTCGTGGGACTCGAATCGGTCGGGGCATCAGATGCGCAGCCCGGGATACAAGTGACTTGGATACCGGTTAAAGGTGTTGCCGGGATGAAAATATCATGCATGAAAAGCTCGAGTCAAAGTATCTCCAAAATCTCATAAAAAAAAATATTGAAATTTAAAATTTGATATTTTTATACAAATTTTTTGCCTAAATATTTTTGTAAGACATTAATTGCCCACCAAAATTAAAATAGAAATTCAAAGTTGAGGAAAACCGACAGCCCGATAGAATGAAAGGGCCCAAAAGGCTGAAAAAATTCCGAGGGTGTGTTTGTTCGTGAGTTTGAATTTTTTAATAGTAAAAATGTTGAATTTTAATAGTTGTTTGATTTTATATAAATAGATATTGATATAATATTTTTAATGTAAAATGAATTTGTAGTGTAATATAAAAAAATAAAAATAATTAGTATTTGATTTGATATTTTTGGAGAAAAAAAAATAGAATAGTAAAAATATGCAGTAAAATCCACAGAAGAACACAATTTTAGGGTTTGTTTCTTTTTTTAAAAAAGAAAATTCAATACATTTTTCCTCAAAAATTAATATACTTTAAATACTCATTATTTTTATATTATCTACATAATTTTTTATACTTCATATCAAAAAAAAAATTCAAACCAAAACACAAAACAAACGCGCCGTACTCATTTCAATTTTGCATGAATTAATTTTTTTAATTGCGAATTTATTACAATTTTTATCAATCATTAGATAAATTCAAACAATTTATTATCCATTTTTATCTAATTTGTTATCGATTCCGACAGATCTAAATGAATTCGGCGTTCAATATCGATTTTTGTGACTAATTAAACAAGTATGAAACGCGCTACATATCCAAATCAAAAAAAAAATTCAGGTTCACCAGTCACATATAGTTCGTCTACTTGACTTGTCTTCTCAAGCCTACTTTATAGGGTATTAAATTAAGTCAAAGTTTATCCAATGCGCATTTTCGAATATCGATTTTCCATATTATTTTTTAAAAAAAAAAAACCCTAAATTTTTTTAATAATTTTCTTTTCTTATCTTAATTTTTTCCGTGGAAGTGTGCTTTGATTGAAACTTTGGTCACAAGCGAACCACAACAGATTTCCCCAAATTTGCTTTAAAACCCAAAATTGGTCCCAAAAGAAAAAATAAATAAGAAGGTCGTCCACGCCACGAGATAATCACATATATTTAATTTGGTGAAGACTACGTAGATTCCGAGGTCATTCATCGTATGTGGGTCCCATCTTCTGCCACGTGTCGCTTCGCTGCTCTGCATGGCTACACCTACACTGCTACGCACACCGCCTTTACGCTTATTAATTTGTTTTTTTTTTTTTTTGACTTTTTTTTTAATTTCTCTGTCAAAAAATAATAAATCGTAAAAAAAAATAAAATAGATATATATATATATGGGGTGGGGTGGGTGTTAGTTAATTAATTAATTAAAGTGTGTGTCTGAATTTGCAAAAATGGCTTTTCCTTTTCCTCTTTCTTTTTGGGTTCCTTTGGTGTTGTTTGTTTTGGTGGAATCCGCCGGCGGCGCGTGGGACCCAATAATCCGGTGGCCGACGGACCGCCGTGGGAGTGACGAGAACGCCACCAGATGGGCGGTGCTGGTCGCCGGCTCCAATGGCTATGGGAATTATCGCCATCAGGTTAGAGCTGGCATTTTATATTAAAAATAAATATAAAATTTTTTTCTATTTTTTATTTATTTATTATTGTTAATTTTTTGAAAAAATATTAATTCTATCTAAATCAAAATTTAAACTTAAATCCCAGAAGGATCTGACCCTGGCTATATTATAATTTATTGTAAACAGGCAAATTACACTGAAAAAAATGTAAAAAAAATAAATGGTATTTTTGGTGTTTTTTTTTTTTTAAGAACTGCATGAATTATCTAATTAGTTTATTAATATATTTAATGATGTATAATTATATAAGCGATTCTTGTTTGTTAGAATTAGATTTATTATTTTGGTATATATTAGTATGTGTTTTACTGTGTGTGAAAAGGGAAAACATGAACTACTTTAGAATAGTTATATCATGATACTTCCTCCCTCCGTCGAAAAATTATAGTCTTAATTGAGTTGGACATGAGATTTAAAGAATATTGATATTGAGATTTAAAAAATATTGATATTATATCGATAGTTGATAAAAAGTATAGATAAAAACTTTTTTGTCCTTGTGAGTGTATTAGTGTAAAAAGTAGTGGCAATTGTATAATAAAAATGAAAAAGTAAGGGTAATTTTATGGTAATATGGTTATTTATAAAAATAAGACTATTATTTTGAGACGGATAAAAATGATAAATAAAACTATTCTATTGGACGGATGGAATATTTGGTTTTGATTTAAAATTGAGTTTATTTATCTTAATTTTGGTTTGAATATTTCTTCAACATAATGTTTTAAAATAGAAAATAATGTATTTTTATAAAAAACCGTACAAACTCGATACTATTTGAAACACAAGCCAAGCACATCTTTTATTAGCCTACACAAATAAGTGATTAGTATGATTAATAATAGATACATGATTACATTTGCAATTTTCTCGTCTTTGATACCTTTATTATTATTATTATTATTATTATTATTATTATTATTATTATTATCATTAATATATATTTTTTTATACTTTGGATTCAGTTTTATAATGAAAAAGAGGTGTTTATCCGAAAATTTTAAATAAAAAATAAATATGAGGGTTTGAATGAGAATAATGTGTTTTAAAGGTCGTAAATGATATCTTTTAAAAGCGAAAAGAAAAGTATTATACTTATTATGCTGATAATTTAAAAAAAAAAAACAAAAGGAGAAGTATTATACTTATTGTACCGACACGTAATAAAAGAACACAACACATTCCATAATAATGACTTTGTTTATTTGTAAGATTTTACCTATAATTTTACTATTTTAATTTTTTTTTTCCTTAAAAAATATTAAATCAAACAATCAATTTTTATTTATTTTATTTTACTAAAATCTATTTTTACATTCAAAACTTTACATAAATACATATTTATATCAGATCAAACAACTATTTCAATTCAAAATTTTACTATTCAAAATCCAAAACCAAACCATCACAACTAAACACACCCATATATGTTATTTAAGTTTTTTTCTTCCTAGTACATGAAATTATTCACTCTTTAATTGTTGCAATGAATAATGCAGGCTGATGTTTGTCATGCCTACCAAATACTTAAAAATGGGGGTTTGGAAGATGAGAACATAGTAGTTTTCATGTACGACGACATTGCGAACAATGGACTCAATCCGAGAAAAGGAACAATCATTAACCATCCGAAGGGAGGCGATGTTTACGCCGGTGTTCCCAAGGTATATAGCTAGCACCAATATATCACAATGCTTCTACATTACGCGCACTTTATACATTGTTTAGATAGAAGATTTTGGAGGTTTTTTGAATTTTGGAAGTTTTTGAAAAGTAAAAGGTTAATATTTAATCTGATATTTTGTGTGAGAAAAAATGTATTTGATGTGATATTTTTTAAAAATAAATAATGTGAAATGAGTGAATGTGTGTTGTGTAAACAAATCCATTATATAAGGTATGTTCACTTGGAATTTAATATGGTGACAATGTGCCGGAAACTTTACTTTTAGAAAATATTTTACTTTAAAAATTTGGATTTTCTATTCTTTTTATTATTATTTTTTTATTTTTTTTTGGGGATTTTGGGTTTGATGATTTGATATACTCCCTCCGTCCATTAAAATTTGCTCATTTTGGTCCGATACGAAGATTAAGAAAAATAAATATTTTATTAAAAAAGTAATAAAAGTAAAAAGTTAGTTAGATATAATTTTGAAAATATAGTTAGAAATTAAAGTAAATAAAAAGAAATAATGTAATAAAATGAGTGGTATTTGTTGTAAATAAGCGCCGAATGAAGGATAATAATTAAATATTAATTTTTTAACTTTGTCAAAATTAGTAATGGAGTAAATTTAGCTATCTGACTAAAAAAAAGAAAGTGAAGAAATTTGGAGAATAATATTTTGTAAAATAAAATATATATTTTAATGTGATTATTGAATGAAAATTTCAAAATAAAAAATCCCAAAAGATATGTTTTAATAGTTAAAAAAATTAATAGTAAGAAACTTAAAAAAAGCTCGGAAAATATCAAAATTTCTATATAATTTCATGGATAAGAAACCTAGTCTCTTTAATTATGTCATTTAGTTCTTCACTTTTACATCATAGAAGACTTGTGAAAAATATTCTATAAACCTATGTATGTTTGCTTACTATATATATACACATAAATCGAATGCATAGATACCGATGTTTTAGTTTCTTGTTTTAGGACTACACGGGCAAGCATGTGACAGCGGATAACTTCTATGCGGCACTTCTAGGTGACAAACATGCAGTGAAAGGCGGGAGTGGAAAAGTAGTCGATAGTAAGCCGAATGATAGAATATTCATATACTACTCGGATCATGGTGGCCCAGGCGTGCTCGGTATGTAGATACTTCCTAGTACATCTTTTGAGGAGCATTTAGTTATTTCGATAGATTATATTATTATGTGCGAAGAAACTTACATTTTCAACCAAAGGTATGCCGAATACACCATACATATATGCGAGAGATTTCATCAATGTGTTGAAGAAAAAGCACGCGGCTAAATCCTACAAAGAAATGGTGAGAAGTTACATTATTAACTATTGAGACTTTGTTCTCTTGTCCTTAAATGCTTTTAGTGTAGTAGAGTACTACCTCGCTCGTCTAAATCTATTTTTATCTTTCTTGATATCATAAAAAATATTTTTCTTTTTTTTTAAAAAAAGTAACAAAAGTATACCCCCACATTAAAATGTGTGCTCAAAAGCATGAACATATATATTTATATGATGGAGAGAGTATAATATAAGAATCGGAACTATTTTCCATGTTAATTGAAGAATCCCAATTCAATGCAATGATTTTTGCCGTAATATTTAGGTTATATATGTTGAGGCATGCGAGAGTGGGAGTATATTTGAAGGGTTGATGACAAATGATTTGGACATATATGTGACAACGGCATCAAATGCAGAAGAGAATAGTTATGGCACGTATTGTCCCGGAATGGACCCTCCACCGCCGCCGGAATACATCACATGCTTAGGAGATTTGTATAGTGTATCTTGGATGGAAGATAGGTATATCCTCTTTCTATCGTCTTTTACGATAATAATATGGCTCATGTTGATATATACAACAATAATATGTGACCTACAAGGTGCCGGGCTTCGATGTCTCCTATTTTCCTTGCAAAAGAAAGAAAAATATTTCGGTTATAAAGTAACAAGCTTGTCCCATAACGGGTGATCAAGTTGGTGTGGTAGGCGAGTTTGTAATTGCAACACTATAAGAAAATATTAATTTTGTAATAAGATTTTTTCGTATTTAAATTAATTTTTTCCGTTACTAATGACATTAGAAACGGAATTAGGGATGAAATTACGTTAACTACATGAACTTTATGGACGAAATTCCATTACAAATATAATATATTTTTGCAGTGCAAGGTCATGGTTCAAATTTTGATGATCCTTCTCGGTCGAGCCTGTCACATGACTTATCTGGCTAGTCTAGTTTGTAGGCTATTGCACTTAGTCTATAGTTTACCGATATGTACACAAAAATTAGTGATTGTAGGTTCTTATATTAAATATAAAAAAATATACAAAGTCTAACTAGTAGTGAGTTGAATGACTATGTGCAATTTATTTTACGATACTTGAATGACATTTTTAAAAAGTATCTATTGAATGGCCTGTCTCACGTGTATCCTTCATGCAGCGAATCTCATAACCTCAAGAAAGAGACAATAGAGCAACAATATTGTAAGGTATTGACTCGAATAAACTCCTCTTGTTGCATTGATATAACCATTTTTAGCGTGACAAACTTATATTGTTCATTAGGTCAAGGAACGAACGTCCAACTTCAATGATTACAATATCGGATCTCATGTTATGGAATACGGGAACACAAACATCTCCTCCGAGAAGCTCTATTTGTATCAAGGGTATGATCCGGCAACCGAAAACCTTCCTCCAAATGAAATCCATTTGAAACAAAAGATGAAGACCGTCAACCAGAGAGATGCCGACATTCTTTTCTTATGGGAGCGAGTAAGTCATCATGTTCTTGAACACGGTTAAAAGAAAATTATCAAAAATATGTTTGTTAGGGCTCGAGTTTGATTCTTTCTTGCAGTACAAGATGTTGGACGATAAATCAAGTGAGAAGAATGAAGTTTTGAAGCGCATGACCGACAAGATAGTGTATAGGAAACATTTGGATGCCAGTGTAGACACGATCGGTTATCTTTTATTCGGCCCCCACAATGGCCCCTCCGTTCTCAAACATGTCCGAAGCCGAGGTTTGCCCCTTGTCGATGATTGGGATTGTTTAAAATCAATGGTGAGCGTTACATTTCTTACCCGCCAATTACTATCATTTTTTTGCACATATATATGTACGTGTATATATATATATATTATATATGTATCGTTTCTTTATATGATCTTTAGGTTCGGGTGTTCGAGTCGCATTGTGGTTCGTTGACTCAGTACGGAATGCAACACATGCGGGCATTTGCAAATATATGTAACAACGGAGTTTCGACTAAGGCGATGGAGGAAGTTACCATGACGGCTTGCGGCAATCGGATCTTCGGTAAGTGGAGTGGGTTGAGTGAAGGCTATAGTGCCTAAGGTTAAGATTGTGAAGAGTTGAGAGTTGGGGTTGGTTATATATATATTGTGCAAATTAAGTTTAATGTTGGATTGGTGTCTTAAATAAGATTTGTATAGGCTAACTTGGCAATGCCCTTTAGGACATATATCGATCGATTTAGCTATATCTCATTGCTTGCTCAAGCCTTATTGAAATATTATATATATATATATATATATATATATTGTGGGTTGAGTCATATACAATAATATAGCAATTGAAAACAAAATCATTAATTAGCCACACTGAGGAATACTTGGCTCATGGATTTTTTGTGTAGGATTGAAATTTCACGGCAGGATTTATATATATGTGATGAGATTTATTAGATTTATTATATTTAGAATTTGAAATTTTATCATATGTTTGGTTAGTAAAAATACGTGGGATTTATATTTTTTATATCTTGTTTGTTTTTTCTTACATTTTATTTGTTTTTTTAGATGAGTTGAAGGATTTAGATTTTTTATATTTTAAATGACATAATTATCTATGGATTTTATTTATTTTAATAAATTAAAATTTTAATTTATAATTAATATTAATTGAATATGTATCAATAATTTTATAGGGATGACAATAGGTTAGCGTAAACTCGAGATTCGATCCAAGTTTGACCTATTTATTTGAAGTTGAGTCCAATTATTTGAATATTAGGTCCGGGTTATGTTCTGGGTATTTTAATCGGGTCCGAATCGGATTTAGGGTTTAAACGAACTTTACCCGTAATATATAAAAAATAATTTTTAACAATATAATTATATTAAAAATATTTTTAAGTTTATTTTATTCATTATTATATTATAATATTTTTTTTTAATAAAATACATAAATGTTCATATATATTGGAGCCGGTACATGTGCAATTTTAAATTAAAATTTAAGAATAGTAAAAAAAAAAATTATTGGATTTGTTAGATCCATCGGGTCTTACCGGATGTAATTTCGGTCGGATCCGGTATATAATCAGATCTAATTTGAATATCGAGTCTAATAATATATATTTGGGACAGATTTTAATTCCGACTGAATCCGACTCATTGTCATTCCGATAATTTTATAATTCAAATAAAATTTATAATAAATAACAATTTAGAACAATGAGTATTAATTTATTTAAAAAATATTGTACCATAAAAAATAAGATTAATTTAATTTAATATATAATTTTAATAATAATAAATTAAAATGATTTTATTTTATTTTATATAAATATATTTATAATATATAATACTATTTTTTTTATAAGAGGATATAAAAGTAAAATTTAAAATCCTATGGGATGGGATTTAAAAGTAATAGGGTGTACTCCATTACTAAAAAAATTCCTTATTTGTAGGATTTTGCACCTTTTTTTTTAATCTCATTATTTTAAATTTTATTATTATTTTTTAATCAAGTGTGAATTTCATGGCATTTTAAAATCTAAATCCCATAAAATCTTTTAAACAAACCGCCCCTCCTGATTGAATTCACAAAACATTTTTCATATAATCGAATTAACTTCTTTTTTGATATTTTTACAGGTTGTTAGTAAAAGATATGAACAATCTACAAACTTTTTAATAGAATGTTACACTCTACAGATTCATCCTAAGTCAAAAAACAAAAGACATTTAAAAAAAAAAAAAAAAACAAATATTACCAAAAATATATATATTATCAATAAAAGTTAACAATTAAATAGACGTCAACAATTTAAATATACAAATTACCTTTTTTTTTTTACAATACAATCATAATTTATCATACATAAAAAATAAAAAAAATAAAAAAAAATAGAATTATAAACAGGACAAAAGAAAATTAAGTTTAAAAAATTGTGTTTGATTTGAATTTTTTTTTTCTTTTTTCTTTTTTTCTTTTTAAAAAAAAGAACAATTTTACTTGAGGTGTGGTTACAAGCATGAATTATAAAGATATAATAGCAGAAAATATAATTGTTGGGAAAATGAATTGAACAAATAATAAATATTAATTTATTTTTTTGATAAAATAAATAATTCAATTAAATTTTTTAATAAAAACAATATACTTCCTCCGTCCCAAAATTATAGTTTGAATTGTATTTGACACGTAACTTAAAAAATATTAATATTATATTGGTAGTGAATAAAAAATACTGGTAAAATTTTTTTTGTCCTTGGGAGTGAATTAGTGTAAAAAGTAGTGGCAATTATGTAATATTAATGAAAAAGTATGAATAGTTTTATAGTGATATAATTTTTTATGAAAATGAGACTATTGTTTTGGGACGGACAAAAATAGTAAATAAAACTATTGTATTGGAACGGAGGAAGTATAATAATTTGGATGAAAATATATATATATATATATATATAATTATCTGGGTTCTCAATTCATTTTTTGGCATTTATTTGCACATGTGAAATAATTAAAATTAGAGAAAGAGAAATAGAAGCAATTTATTTTTAATATTTAATTATTTTATCCAAACAAATAAGAAAATGTGAAATATTTTTATTTTATTTCTTTTATTTTCTTATTTTCATGTTCTTTAATTCTCACAAAAAAATCATACTCCCTCCGTCCCACATAATTTGTCCTTATTTTCTATTTTTTTCCGTCCCACATAACTTGTCCTTTCTATTTTTGAAAATATAATTATGCACTTTAATTCTATTTTAAATTTTATAATTTTTTTAATTTTAATTAAACTATTTACTTATCTTAATCTTAATCTATAATTATTTTTACTAAATAATAATTATTTTTACTAATACACTTCTTAATTACTTACTAATTATACTTTACTTAAATTCTCGTGTCTACAGTAATACATTCATATTACATGGGACGGAGAGACTATTAAACTATTATTATTATTGAAGCAAGTTAGACCCATTTAGGTTGGCCAAGATAAAATTAAAAACAATTACAAATTGGAGTCAAAAGTAATACTCCCACCATCCCAGATATCGTGTCTGCTACACTGTAGATACGGTATTTTAGGAGGGGTGTAATTAGTAAATAATTAAGAATGTATTAGTGAAAATAATTATCCTATAATATATATAATTATAAATTAAAATTAAGATAACTAATTAGTTTAATTAAAATTTAAAAAAATAAAATTTAAAAATTTAAAATGAGATTAAAGTGTGTAATCATTTTTAAAAAAAAGAAAAGTGACATGGTACGTGGGACGGACAAAAATGACAACGTGAACATGGTATTTGGAACGGAGGGAGTAATATATCTTTATATAAAAAATAATAAAAATATAATATATTTCCGTTTTGATTGTTAAAAGTAATATAAAGATATTTTTCTCTTTATTTATTTGTTTTTATGTAAAATTAATGTTGTATTACTAAAGTAAGGATATTTATAAAAAAAATTATAAAATATTTTTGAAATGATTACTCGGTAATTAGACAATTTAAAATAAATAAATATTTCATTTGTATCAATACAATAGTTTTGTTTACCATTTTTGTCCTTTTCAAAACAATAGTCTTATTTTTATAAATAATCATATCACTATAAAATTACCCTTACTTTTTCTTTATTATTACACAATTGCCATTATTTTTTACACTAATACACTCACAATGACAAAAAAGTCTTTAATCTGTACTTTTTATCCGCTACAGATATAATATCAATCAGACTATAGTTATGGGACGGAGGAAGTATATATTTTATAGACTGATGGAATGAATAATAAATAAAAAAATTGGGCCATGTTTAGAGAAAGCGAAATAAGCACGATGTCAACGGCCTCTCAACACCAATTTATGTTTTTTCATTCATAATCATAAAAATTGACATTTAGGATGTGTTCATTTTGGATTTTACCATAAGATTTTTACTATTTATATTCTTTTTTTTCATTCAAAAATATTACATCGAATAATTATTTTTTTATATTATACAATAAAGTTATTTTACATTCAAAATATTACATCAACTTCTATTTATAACACATCAAACAACTATTCAAATTTAACTTTTTACTATTCAAAAAATTCAAACCCAAAAACTAAAGCTCGTAAACAAACACACCCTTAGTAGCTTAAAATCTGGAGGCAAAAAGAATTTGAATCAACCACGATAGAGATATCAGCAATTCGGCAACAGAGAGTGTTGTGACGGATTAGGGTTAATGATCGAATAACAAAAAAAAATATGTAAAGAATTCACAGATTTACGTGGTTCACCGACGTGTTGGCTACATCCATGGGTAGAAACAGAGAACAAATTTATTCACAATGGCAATGTTACAAGTTACAAATTTTATATCTCTAAGTCTATTCAAATAAACTAAGAGACTACACCAGACGGACTCAACCCAATGCGAACTTAAAAGTCCAATATTGCATACTGTCGAAAATTTAGTGAAGTGACAAACTAGATTTTAGACATATCAACAGAGGGTGAAAAGAAGAATAGTGACAAGAAAGAAAAATTACAAAAGAGCCACTATGTGTAATTTTTTACTCCCTCATTCCCAGCTAATTTGTCCATTTTAGTGGGCTAAAAAGTTTAATGTATAATGTAATTAGTAAATAATTAAAAAATATATTAGTAAAAATAATTATGATATAGTAAAGATTATTATAGATTAAAATTAAAATTACTAAATAATTTAATTAAAATAAAATTATAAATTATAAATTTTAAAATTTGATTAAAGTATATAATTATATTTTCAAAAAAAGAAATAGATAATTTTTGTAGGATCGACAGATATGAAAATAGTAGACAAATTAAGTAGGACGGAGGGAGTATTTTTTTAATAACATGGAAACCCGAATGTGCGCTTTTGGTAAATTTCGGGCCGAACCTAATAGCAAATTATGTCCGACAAAGACAAATCACACTAAGCGAATCATGTGTGGCAGACAAAACCTCAACCCCTCCCATTATTTACAATTTTGATTTGATAAATTGGTATCAGATTTAATAATATGACAACTCATGTATGTATTGACTGTATAATTTGCTCTTAAGTCAAAATAATATTGGGCTGATTTTTAACTATTAAGTATTTGTGGATAGAATGCTTACAGTATTATTTTTAACTAATAAAAACATATGAGATTTATATTAAGATTCAAGACCAATTTTTAACCCAAGCTAGTTTATTACAGTATGTACTC